TTCAACCCTGGTACTCATCTGCACCTGCATGTGACCCACAAGGTCCCCCAGCCCCACCGGAGGGAGCCCCCCAGCAAACCCCACTTACCCCCAAAGGCTTCAGGATAGAAAGTGAGCCTGAGTCGAGCCTCAGCTGACTCAAGAGTCTCAGGCCCTGTTTCTTCTCTCTCCCTTTTCCCTCAGGACAGGGCTTAGGGTTTGCTGCCCTTTTTGCAAGAAGCTCTTGCAGGCTGGAACTCTGCCAGCCTGCAGATAGCTCTTTGCAAAAGTGGAAAATCTGCGTGTTTCTCCATTAAAATGAAAAAGCTGCTTTTTTTTCTGTTAAAAGGGAAAATCCATGGGTTTTGTTTTTTTCCATGGGAAACAGGAAAACCCGGATCCCTGGTGGTCATGCAGCATCCCCAAGCCACCCATCCCCTCTGCAGCACTTTCCTCCTGTGTTTAGCTTTGCTGCAGAGGGGCCAGGTGTCTGCAGGCTGCTGGCCAATCCCGGTACTGAGGTATAAGATGCAGTAACTTGGGTCTTTTACTAGACCATTCAGTGGCCTCAAATTATCACATCAACAATCCTGCCCATTCATTGATGCTGGAACCAGGATCTCAAGCACCACTTAGTAACAATATGGATATAGTTGGGGCCAGGATGTAAATATACTTATGCACTGATTACTGAAGAGGAGACCTAAACTACTGGGAACACTGACCCAAGGAAAAGCTCTGGAACAGGAAATCCACTGGTCAAGGCTCAGGTGGAAGCTGTGCAGAATTTAAAGTAAAATGATCAATAAACTGATCACTGGTGTTAGCAGACTGTTGTCACTGCTTATCTAGCAGTTTTAAAATTCTGTGGCATAAATAATAGCAACAGAGGTGAGAGACATGAGAGCACATAACTCCTTATCCTTATGTAATCTTATCATTCTTCTCTTTATCCCCACAGACGCAAACTGACTGTAAAAAATGAAGAATCATACATCCCAAGAATCCAGAGGAAGAGTCAGACTTAAGATCCCTCCACTGGGAATGTGGCTTTGTTCCTAAGGGAATCTAGTCGCTGATGCACCAGCACAATAAAAAGTAGTTTCCAGACCCTCTCCAGATTTGTAACTATGGTCAGATCTGCAATCCTACAGTTTTCTAGGGATTTTAAAACCACATTCTTGTTCAGTATTTAAGGTACCAAGGTTTTTGTCCAAGCATTCCCTTTCATTCTCTATCCTTTCTTGTTTCAAGCTATAATTTTTTTGTAAAACTGGAGAAATATTACTTGCTAGTACAAATGCAGATACACTTCTACCCAGGAAGTCAAAATCCTCTCTTCACTTGCATGAAGCTGTAATGAGCATCTTACTTTGCTTTTGAAGACCTTTCTCAATATCAGTTACTGGGCCTCACCCGTGTTTATATTAAAACTCCTGGCTTTGCTACATAAAGTGGCTTTGGTTAATACCTATTTACAAAATTCCTCTTTGTCCTCTTGCTTAGAAGCAAGGTTTGAAAACAAACAAGATGTGAGACTCCTGTCCTCTGGCTGCCTGTCACTTCCAGACTGCTGTATGATTGTACCTTCAACTGAGTTATAAAAGCAGAGGACACGAGTAGTCTGAAACGCAGCTTAAAGTTTAGATCAGGGCGGGCAATTATTTCGGGCAGAGGGCCACTTACCCAGTTTTGGCAAGATGTCTAGGGCTGCATGGGTAGCCCCTCCCCTTGACAGGTGCCCCGCCCCCTGGTCACCATCTTGGGACCAGTGTCCCAACGTCTTGGGACTGACATCTCAAGGTCAACACTGGTGGGGCCCAGAGCAGGGCGCAGGCTGGCAGGTGTCTGTGGAGCTGGGCTGGGCTGCACCAGCAGGGAGAGGGGGGAGCTGGCCTGGCTCCATACAGCCCCTGCTGCCCGGGACCCTGGACCCCTGCCACCCTGCTCTGGGCCCTGCTGGTGCTGGTCCTGGGAGACCAGTGTGGGCCCCACGCTCCTGCGCCTGCTCACTCCCAGTGTCCCCCAGCCCCACGGTACAGGCAGTGGGCAGCCCCAACCCAATGCTCCCCAGCAGGGAAGGAGCTGGTGTTGAGTGCGTGGGAGAAGCGACTCCTCGCCTGCCCTGTGGCCGGTGCTCCCTACTGTAGCTGCTTGCAGCCTGCACGGGGCTGTCCTGAGCAGGCACAGGCAGCCCCATGCAGGCTGGGAGCAGCTGCAGTGCGGAGCGCCAGCCACGGAGCAGGCAAGGGGCCACTTCCCCCCAACCACACTCAGCACCAGCTTGTAACCCACCCCCACTGTCAGCTTGGGCTCTACGGTGGCTCTGGGCTCGCCCATCGGTGGCCCCCACAATTGCTGTGCTGGACAGCATTTACCACTGCCACCTCTGGGCAGCCCAGGCGCACGAGCTCCAGGCGTGCAGCAGCAGCAAACACTGCCCAGCATGGCAAGTGGGGGGGCCGCAGCTGCTCCTGCAGCCCTGACGGGTGAGCCCGGAGCCGGCACAGGGCCCAGGCTGGCAGTGGGGGTGGGTTACAAGCTGGTGCTGAGTGCAAGGGAAAAACGGCCCCTCACCTGCCCTGTGGCTGGCGCCCTGCGCTGCAGCCTGCACAGAGCTGCCTGTGCCTGCTCAGCACAGGCCCACGCAGACTATGAGTGACTACAGCAGGGAGTGGGGGCCACAGGGCAGGTGAGGGGCCACTTTTTGCCGCTGGCTGTATTTTGCCCACCCCTGGCTTAGATGTATGCTTCCCAGCATGTTCAGTCACATTGTAGTAGGATGAGTCTCTGTGATCCACCTGCCTTGAGATGCAGAGCTAAAAAGTTATTGTTTTAAGGAGTTTAGGTTGTAGCTGTGTTGGTCTAAGGACATAGGCAGACAATGTTCCTTGGGTGAATTTGATATCTTTTATTAGACCAACCCAAATAGTTGGAGAATAGTTATTAAGCAAGCTTTCGGGTTCAAAAACCCTTCATCAGGCTAAGGAAGTTCCAGCAGTTGGTGTGTGCTCTTCCTGGATGGAATGAAAAGTAAAGAAGCCAGGGGCTGGGCTGGGGAGTCAGTTGTCAAAAATCCAATGTCTATATTTAGTCCATGGTTTTTAGTATCCAGGAGGTAGTGGATGTATTTTTTTATTAGGTATACATAGACTTTTCCTATTAATTATGATACTAAGGCTCCTGCCAGACATTTACTTAAAGGCTTTGATCCCCAGTCCTAACAATTTTGCCTCCTGCCATCCCAGTGGTCACCTCCTACTGTGGTCCCTGGAGCAGCTGATGATCAGTTGATCATCAGTAGATTGGGTTTGCCCTGGGGCTCAAGTCCTGGGGTAGTCCCAATTTGCAGTTGGTTGACAGGAAACATCCAGGGGTTTAAGTCCTGGGACTGTTCCTGCCAACTCATAATCAGCTGATCAGCACTGCTCTGGGGCTCAAGCCTTGTGGCAATCCCTGCATGGAATGCTACATGTTCAAGTCATTGGCACCATACAAACTGATGACAAAGATATTACATATTTTTCAAGTAATATCTTTATGTCTGGCTTGTGATTTTTATGGCTCCATAAATTATGTGAATGTGTAGCCAGTTGCTATTTCTGGTGTGATTAATACCTTAATCATGCCAGAAACATAACATGTGCCAGCAGGCTAAGAATAATAAGGATATTGTTATTGTATAGGTTTATGGCACAGCAGATGTAGAACACAGCAGACAATAAATGGACAAGCCATGCCTGTTTGATAACAGATGGAGAACCTTTCAGGTAACCTTGTCACTAGGAGCTCAGCTCTCTGAATTAGTGGAATGGCTTGCTTCTTTTCAAGCATTAGGGCCCTCACAGTTTAACCCCATTAGAGTTCGTCACGTGATATCCAGGTGGCTCTTTCAAACATGCGATCTATCTCTCTGGAGGAGTGTCCTTGCTGGGTGAAAGCCTTTTTATGATTGGTGAGTTAGCAATTCCAGGTGTGCTCTTCAGTACAAATGCAGTGGTGTCTGAGGGCTTGGCTGTCTATCACTGCTTTTTTGGTGTGTTTAGGGTGATTGCTGGTTCTGTGCAGATAAGTATGTTGGTCTGTGGGTTTCTTGTATACTGTGGTCTGTATTTTACCCTTCTGGATACTGATCCTTGTGTCTAAAAAGGGGATGTTGGTGCTGGAGTATTCTAAAGGAAGTCGGATGGAGGGATGGCGACTGTTGAATTTCTGGTGGAACTCAAGTAGAGATTCCAGGTTCTCACTCCAAATGATGAAGATGTCATCGATATATTGTAAGTACAGCAAGGGTTTGATGGTGCAGTTCTTGAGGAAGTCTTCTTCCAGGTGGCTCATAAAAAGGTTGGCATACTGTGGGGCCATTTTAGTGCCCATAG